CGTCTAGAGATTGACTTTACCGAAATTATCATCGATTGTCATTATTTGACGCTGTTTTTTTCAATCATACGGTACTTCTTCAGTTCTTCATATATTCGCCATACCAATTAAACTTTTAGTTGCGTAATCGAGGACGCGATTTTTAAATCCATTGTTGCCAACCATGGACTGTTGTTCCATATTCGGCGCCGGGCTCACTAACTGAAATTTATTTTTCCCGCTGGGGATTCATGTTGTAGCTCTGCCGTAAAAAATGTCAAGTTGCCACATTTATTTATTTATTTCCTGACATTGTCATTCGTTTTGACACTTTAGTTTTGTATTACGACTTTTTGGTTTAAATCAATTGTGTTGTGATAACTTAAAAATTTTCACTAGTAGACCTTGCAGTCGAACATTGTTCTTTTCAGTGTACAAGATAGCTTAATAGCCGTTGCAAAAAAACTAAGTTAAGGAGGTGAATTTCGTTGATGTAAATAAGAAATGTTTCTATATTTATATTAATTTATTTTTGTTTTCTAAAATATTTTGATTAAAAGAAAATATGCAAAGGTGGGCAACGCTGTGCCGGGCAAGCTTAATCATGTGACTAAAACTTTATTTGATATAATCTATACTAAAGCCTGTCCAACGAGCCAGAGGGAAGATTTCGACAAAAGACCTTCAAAAAATGACAGAAAATATAAGTTACCTGTTAATTAAAACAGTGACAGGCAACAGTTACTGTCAAGTGTCCTCTCCTTGCACAGGCTATACCTATACCTTACAGAAACCAACTAAAATTACCTGCAATTCATTTAATTGACTCTCTAATTTCCTCATTATGTCAGGATCCTCGGACATTGCTGACTCTTCTGCCTCCACATCATCGTCTTCTGACTCCATATTCCGTCTAAAACAAAACATTTCTGTAATTCACGATGCTAGGGAATTTCAGGCTTATATTTTCATATACAGAGTACAGAGTGTAGATATATTAATATGCAGGATTCCTAATTAAAATAACACAATTCGCAACTTAGTCTGTACGTTATCTGGAACATTTCGTCGACGCAGGCAAATCGTACGTAAAACGTTGCGTGTGAACCCCGCTTTATAAGAGTATTACCTATATGATTACTAATAAAAAGGAATGGAAGAAAGAAACGCTTACTCAGCATATAAAAGACCATACCATCACGTGGTATACTGATGCTTCCAAAACCAAAGCAGGGACAGGGATAGGAGTATTTGGGCCGAAAACTGAATACTCCGAACCAATGGGCACCTACCCCAGTATCCTTCAGGCAGAAATTTGCGCTATCGAAAGATGCGTACAATTTATCTTAGATAGGAACTATCGAAAACAGGAAATTGCCATCCTATCCGATAGTCAAGCAGCACTTAACGCGATCAACTCAGTAACCATCAATTCGAAGTTGGTCAAAGAATGCCTAGAGAAGCTCAACAAATTAGGCAAAGAAAATAACGTCCTCCTACTCTGGGTGCCTGCTCACCAAGGGAGAGAAGGCAATGAAAAAGCAAATGATCTAGCTAGAAAAGGAGCGAACACTCCACTAACTGGACCAGAACCGTTTTGTTTTCCAAACGGGAACCAACTGAAAGCGGAACTGAAGAATCTGGAAGACTCCATCCGTAACTTGGAATGGGTGTTCTCCGACGGTCTAAGACACTCGAAAAAGTTCCTTCCGAGAAAAATCAAAGGTTTTCCTTGATTTAAGTAAAAACAATCTTCGGATTGTCACGGGGTTTCTAACAGGACACTGTCTCCTCAACGAACACCTCAGTAGGCTGAAACTGAAAAACAATGGCGAATGCAGATTTTGGGGGGAAAATGGGGAAACACCAGAACACCTTATCACTGAGTGCGCCGAGACGACGACCATTCGTGCCATGAATCTTGGTACGTCTGATGTCGAGGATGGAGAGCTGGCCTTCTGTGGAGCCAAATCTCAGATACTGTCTTTTGTTAAAGCCCTGAGATTGTATGATGAGTTATAACTCGTTATAACTCAAGAAAGGGGAACACACAATAAATCTATAAGGTCGCGGTGATTAACTCCCCTCCTAAACATTCTACATTCTATATGATTACTATAAACTTACATAGCTTTAGCTTTGGCTAGTTCCAGCGCTGTAACCCATGATTGTCTCTCCACTTCTGAGGAAGCTTTTATATGGAAACTTTGAGTACCTCCGTTGGATATAACGAATGTACAGGGGTCTACAGTGTAGATCAGAGCTCCATGTAGTGAAATGCTACCTCTGCACGTGTGGGCAATTTCTGCTTGGTTTCTGAAACAGACAAAAAAGAAAAAACTTGTAAGCGCGGTGGAATAACATCAGGGGAGAAACCCTGCACATTGTTAAGTATAGAATGTTCAGACATCGTTTACTGTAACGTCATAATATATTGTCGAACTTTCTCGAAAGAGATTGGTGACGTCATTACAGCCTTTCGTAAATACTTTTTAGTAATTGTCATTGTCATTTGATTTGATGTTATAATTTTATTGACGGACCCCGATCAATGTCAAAATTAAAAAAATGTAAACATAAATATGAACTGATCTGAGACACACCCTAAAACTCATATTTGACAAATAACGATGACGTAACGATGAGCGATGGCTGAGCATTCTATACCCCCACCATAAAGCCGAGCTGCAACAAGTCAGTTTTAAAAAGACTCAAGTCTTAAGTCATTCCTAAAATCAAAATGATTCAAGTCTTAAGTCAAATTCAACATAAAGTTTAAATGATTTAAGTCTTAAGTCTTTGACTTAAGTCATTTTATTTCAAGTCAAGTCATTTTTTGTTAAGACTTAAATCAATATAACGTGATTTAAGTCGTTCTTATGACTTAAGTCTATATTTTTGACTTAAATCATGCTGATCTGCAAGTTAAGTCAGTAAAATGACTTAAATCAAAATAATTACCCTCAAGTCAAGACAACCAGAACTCAATTTAAGTACCTTTTTATAAATTTTAATATTAATTTTGTTGTTACTAATTAGCAATTTTCTTATTAAGTATAATATATTAATTTATTGTAGAGACAGATATGAGACTAAAATCACATAAATAAAACGGTTAATTTTCAGAACAACTACAAACACAAAAATAAGTTTTTTTTTTTATAAAATTTAACTGATTTTGTAGTACTTTATATGTATCCATTACAGACAGATGTCATCAAATACATGTCCATTAAAAAGTGGTGATGTGTTTTGATCACTATGTAATATATCGATAGCATAAGCTAAGGACTGGATACTTTTAAGGTACTTTTCAATATATCCGAGATAAATATCTTTCGTTCATCTTTCGAGCTACATAACGGAGTCGGGGATTCACTTAGTAAGGATAAGAACCATAGACTTAAAATAAAATATAGACTGAGCATCTCATTCATAAATAGCTGGAACATGCGGTCAGACAATGTCTTGTTATTGTTGTGTTATTGTTTTAGGTTATAACGAGTGCGACACGAGC